GTGCTTCTTCCAGCCCAGCGTTTCTCATGATGTACTCTGCATACAAGTTAAATAAGTAGGGTGACAATATACAGCCTTGAGGTACTCCTTTTCCTATTTGGAACCAGTTTGTTGTCTCACGTCCAGTTCTAACTTGCTTCCTGACCTGCATACAGGTTTCTCAAGAGGCAGGTCAGGTGGTCTGATATTCCCATATCTTTCAGAATTTTACACAGTTTATTGTGATCCACACAGTTAAATGTTTTGGCATAGTCAATAAAGCAGAAATAAATGTGTTTTTTTGGAACTCTTTTGCTTTTTCAATGATCCAGCAGATGTTGGCAATTTGATCTCTTGTTCCTCTGCCTTTTCTAAAACCAGCTGGAGCATCTAGAAGTTTATTGATCACTTATTGCTGATGTAGCTGACTGTGAATTGACTTGTGTCCTGTTCATTATAACTCAAACATGAAATATATTTCTGACAGGATGCTTTCTAGGAAAATCATTGCAACACTGGGCATATCAGGTGTGAAAAAACGTTGGAAAATTATATATAAATCTTATAAATTTTTTGGCAAACAGTAAGTAAATCCAAGAAAGAATAAATATTAAACATATACTCAAGAAACAGACAAACCAACTTGCAAAGAAAACTATGTAAGTAAACTTCCAATTTTAGACATCATTAAAGATCTTTTCCCTTAGCTTTATTTTAGTGTCATTCATTCCAGGGGGCATTTTAATTACATGGAAACAAAGCCGAGCAGCCAATTTCAAGCCACACATTTCTGTGTAACTCCAAAAATGTTCTAGTCATTAAAAATGATATGAGACCTACTATTTGCCTTAATGATCTGATTTGATGCTTGTGAAGAAAATGTTACTAGTGGTCCTCCTGGGTTTGAGTCTCCAGGGCTACAGAGTCAGATGTAAGTGTCTTGGTCTCCCAGTTATACTCAGCCCACAGAAAAACAGGACGGTGGAGACCTGCTTCTCTGTTGCAGGAAAGTTTTTGAAGTTGTTTATGACACAGTAAATATATTATTTTCTTGAAATGGTAACTGAGGTTTTCTTTTCACATTTCTTTTTATGTTAAATCACTGTAAATGCTAGCCAATTCTAAGTCCAATAATATTAAAGAAACAAATTAGCAACCATGCTTCAAGACCCCTGACAACTATTTCACAAAGAAGAGAAAAAACTTGTTACTGGGAAATGGGCATTTATACATATTTATTTATGTGTAGTTTAAATTGGTATATAAACTTTTACAAAAATGAGAAGTAGTTAATTCTGAGAAAACTCTTACCTGATAAATCTCGAGACCCTTAAGAGGCATGTATGCAATGTCTAGGTCTGTAATAGAAGTTAAGCCATAAGCTATACATCCTGATAAAGTGTACACTCCACTTAGAATTCAAAACGAGTTATTGTCCTCCTCATCAGTGAAGCTGTCCCAGGAAAGAAGTATCCTTTACTGAACAAAACATGCTAAAATGGCATTGCTATGCTCTCTTCTTGAAATTAAAAGATTCTTACTCCTTGGAAGGAAAGTTATGACCAACCTAAATATCATATTAAAAAGCAGAGACATTACTTTGCCAACAAAGATCTGTCTGGTCAACGCTATAGTTTTTCCAGTGGTCATGTATGGATGTGAGAGTTGGACTGTGAAGAAAGCTGAGCACTGAAAAATTGATGCTTTTGAACTGTGTTATTGGAGAAGACTCTTGAGAGTCCCTTGGGCTGAAAGGAGATCCAGCCAGTCCATCCTGAAGGAGATCAGTCCTGGGTGTTCATTGGTAGGACTGATGCTGTAGCTGAAACTCCAATACTTTGGCCACCTCATGTGAAGAGTTGACTCATTGGAAAAGACCCTGATGCTGGGAGGGATTTGGGGGCAGGAGGAGAAGGGGATGACAGAGGATGAGACGGCTGGATGGCATCACCGACTCAATGGACATGAGTTTGAGTAAACTCTGGGAGTTGGTGATGGACAGGGAGGCCTGGCGTGCTGCAATTCATGGGGTTGCAGAGTCGGACATGACTGAGCGACTGAACTGAACTAACTGAACTGATGCTCAATTAGATGTCTCTATTATTTCTTTTGATACTTAGAAGACAAACATATTCTCTTCAAGGCTTTAATTGATTTGTGCTTGCAAGCAAAATATAGTAACCATGTATGTTGTTATTTGAGGCAAACATCTCACATTTTTCTTAGACACTTTCATTTGCTTATGCATTCATGTGCAAATATTTTCTATCAGTTATGTGCATACTATGCTACTAGCTGATGAGTGAATGTACTCACTTCAATGTGGTAAGTATATCTAGGAAAATACCAGCTGCAATGGATATGCAAAAACAGTTCAGAGACTCAGTTGGATTGGTAGATCCATCCACAGTAGTTATCTATATAAGGAATGTTGTAAATGGAAAAAGTTAGAACTAATAACTCCTTTCATTTTATTTAGTCCATCACAGAAAGTCATAGTATGATTTTCACTTATTTCTGTAAATCTCCTCTTTGTCAAGAAAAACTCCCTTCTCCCATCCTTTCTTTTCAAAGGCATCATAGTGATGACTGCAAAAATCTGAGTCTGGAGACAACGTTTGCCCTCTTGGGTTTCACAGATTATCCAGAGCTTCAGATTCCTCTCTTCCTCATGTTTCTGATCATGTATATTATCACCGTGGTAGGAAATCTGGGCATGATGGTAATCATCAAAATTAACCCTAAGTTTTACACCCTCATGTGCTTTTTCCTTAGACATCTTTCTTTTGTTATTTTTGTTACTCTTTCATTGTTACCCCCAAGCTGCTCAAGAACTTGGTCACGGCCAATAAGAGCATCTTCTACAGTACCTGCATGCTGCAGTTCTTCCTATTCTGCATTGCTGTGGTGACTGAGTCCTTCTTACTGGCAGTGATGGCCTATGACTGCTTCGTGGCCACCTGTAACCCTCTGCTTTACACAGTGGTCATGTCACAGAGGCTGTGTGCCCTGCTGGTGGCTGGGTCATATCTCTGGGGCACGTTTGGCCCATTGGTACTCCTTTGCTATGCTCTCCAAGTAAACTTTTCTGGACATAAGGTGATCAACCCTCACTTCCTATGTCTTTATTTTTGTCACTGTGCTAAACATCCGTTCTGCCAATAGATGTCCCAAAGCTTTCTCCACCTGTGCGTCTCACCTGACTGCCATTACCATCTTCCATGGGACCATCCTTTCTCTCTACTGTGTGCCCAGTTCCAAGAACTTGTGACAAACTGTCAAGGTGGCCTCTGTGTTCTATACAGTGGTCAACCCCATGCTGAACCCTCTGATCTACATCCTGAGGAATAAAGATGTGAATGATGCCTTCCGAACATTAATACACAAAAGCCTCATTTCACTGAACCAATGTCCAAAGAAATCTTCAATTCCCATTAACAATGGGAAAAGAGCCTTCCAAGATGCGTAGCATATATTTACATGAGGTTTTTATAGATGACTAAGACATTAATGTATTAAACTGTTCCCCTTAAATATAAATTTTTGACAAAGGAACATTCTTTTTTTCTTCCTGCAGTACCTAAAACAGTATTTATCTCTGGGCAAGCCTATAATAAATATGTTTAAACCTGAGTGAATAAATGAAAGAGTAATTATGCATCCTCATTATGTACTTAGTATTAAGTACTGCTTATTATATAACAGTTAAACATGACTGCTATTCTTTCACATAGAATAAAAAATTGATTAAAACAATGAAATTTGAAAGTTAGAAAATTTAACATATTGTTGATGTCATACCACCTTTCTGATATTCTTCTAAAATGTTGTTTTATGTAGTTTAAATACAGTTCAACAAATAAAACTGCATATTTATGTTACTCAATTTATGACTAATGACTATGAAATACATTTCAATAAATTTTTATATTTAAGTAATTTATGTAAAACACCTGCCATGCAAAGCAGCTTTCCTGTGAATGTGTTTCCCGGACATATAAAGGGCCACTGACAATGATGCTCTTTATAGATTTTGGTTTTGTGCTTTTGTCATGAGACTCCCTTCTTCAGTTCAGTTCAGTTCAGTTCAGTCACTCAGTCGTGTCCGACTCTTTGCGACCCCATGAACTGCAGCATGCCAGGGCTCCCTAACTCCCCAGCATCACCAACTCCCGGAGTCTACTCAAACCCGTGTCCATTGAGTCCGTGACGCCATCCAACCATCTCATCCTCTGCCGTCCCCTTCTCCTCCTGCCCTCAATCTTTCCCAGCATCAGGGTCTTTTCCAATGAGTCAACTATTTGCATCAGGTGGCCAAAGTGTTGGAGTTTCAGCTTCAGCCATCAGTCCTACCAATGAACACCCAGGACTGATCTCCTTCAGGATGGACTGGTTGGATCTCCTTGCAGTCCAAGGGACTCTCAAGAGTCTTCTCCAACACCACAGTTCAAAAGTGTCAATTCTTTAGCACTCAGCTTTCTTTACAGTCCAATTCTCACATCCATATATGTGTGTATGTATGTATGTGTGTGTATATATATATATATATATATATCAGAGAGAAATAAGAAGTCAAACCATAGGTTTGAAGCACAGTTTAAGCTTCTTGGAAAGTAATATTCCACACTGTTCTTGTGTTTAGGTTTTGGAAAATTTATTTTGCTTTTCTAATTGAGATAGTTCACAGGGTACTATGTGAATGGAAAAGAGGAATTTTGCTTTTGAAAAAAATGACAGAAAAGAAATAGTGACAGTGCCAGATAGAAAATTCCTCAAACTCAGGAACTTATCAGATGGATCCACTTAGGGAAGGTCATATAAATTGTCAAGAATTTGGAAACCAATTATTGTAACTAATTATATTCAAGGAATTTTTGAAACATTTTGTATATCCAAAGACACAAACCACAGCCTTTCCTTTGAACACTGTTGGTTTAGGGACATCAGTCATATAGTTAGAGAAGGAGCAGACCTGGGAAAGATGCGTCAGGCAGACCCATTAAATGGTCTTGGCACTGGGCAGGAGGGCTGCCACTCAGAACTGTGTGGTAGCTCTGCTCTCCCACATGGAATCACGTGGATGGTGGAATCACGTGGATGGTGGAAGCCCAAGTGCAGCGTGAAGGCTCATCCTAGCAGGGACTCCACTTACAAGTCTGTGCAAGTGACAGCTATCTTTGCCTCAGTCACCTCATTAGTACAGGTACATAACTGTACTTACCTAACATATTTTAATAACAATCAAATGTGTTAATAGTTGTATTCAAAACATGCAAAGGACGTGTGATCAGCTATTATTCTTCTCAGGAAAGGAGGCTCAATATTCTTAAACTTCTCTGATATTTGGCAAAACTCTGGTGTGACTTCAGACACTAAGCCCTCAAGGGTGACGATTTTGTATATGACAGGCAAAGTTTAGAAGTCCTATTATATTTCATAATGACAATGTAGGTCCTGGTGAACAGAGCAATGTTTGAATGCAGCCTATGGTGGTCTGCAGTTCATCATGACCTTTGGAGTGAATCATGTTTGATTATATTGATAATAACATGTACACACTTGGGATAGTTTTACCCCTCTTTTATCTCATAAAACTCATTAATTATTTGAGTCCCAAGATGATGTTGCTTTCTTGATATTCTGCTGAGGGCCTACAGAAATCAATGATTGGTTTCAGAAGCTTAAGGAGTATGGGCCCCAGAGACAGACACCAATAAAAACATAGAGTCTGCATCATTTTGCCTGCTACTCTCTTCAGAAACAAAAGAAGCAATGTCTGTCCCATAGGTTGGTTGGTAGGATGACACTGATTTGGGGGGAGTTGGAGAGCAGTGGTACTGATTTATTTTTAAGCTTCTGTATTTAGTTCTCTCTTAGAGTGTGTTTTAAGAAATGTCATGTTGCAGACACTCTTTTATGAAAGTATTTAAAGCTTTGGAGGAACAATATCAAAGAGAAATGACAGCAGTTTAATCTGCAAAACCAAATATCTTGTAATAGCTATTAGTGTAAGAGGAAAACGAGTGTGAACAAAGTGGGAAGAATGCTTGATTTCTCCCACCTTCACACTTCCTCCTCTGTCACATTAACTCCCTCCAGGGAACCTGGGAAAGACCACAGGGAGATTCTCCGGACAGCCACTCAGAGGCTGAGGGTGGCAGTGAGGGGTCCTCAAGACTGTTTTTGTTGTTGTTTAATCGCTCAGTTTTGTCCAATCCTTTTGAGACCCCATGGACTGTAGCCCTCCAAGCCTCTTTGTCCATGGGATTCCCCAGGCAAGAATACTGAAGCGGGTTTCCATTTCCTCCGCCAGGGGATTTTCTTGACCCAGAGATTGGACATGTGTCTCCACATCTTCTGCATTGCAGGCAGATTCTTTACTGCTGAGCCACCAGTGAAGTCCCAGAACTGTTCATGGAAAAACAGAAACATGAGACCAACCTCTGAAGCAGACACAAGTGGAACAGAGGTGTCTCACCATAGCAGGTTTCTTATCCCTGGTACAAATGATATTTTGAGTTTTAGTCCAGAGCCTCTTTCATCCAAGATATACCAACTCATGCCTCTAAAGCATTTAAAATTAACAAGGGTCAGGAGGGAGAGGAAATGAGCACGTTCTTGTCCTATGTTGGTATTTTCTATGTGTCACATGCCTTATCTTTTCTTTAAAAAATCCCACCTTCCTTCTCCAATGCAGCCCATAACAAGATTCTCCATTGTTTTTTCTTTGGAAAAATTGTTATAAAATAATTATGTTTCATTGATGTTTTAATGATTGGATATATGATGAAATTTATGTACATATATAATATTTTATCTGTGCAATCTGGCTTAGCATTTGCCACTTACCACTTTTCATGGTCATTAATAAGGTCCTTAACAATTCATCAAAAATCTGCATAATTTTATATATATGCATATATAGGCTCCTCTGCTCACTAAATTCTCTAGGCAAGAATACTAGAGTGGGTAGCCATCTCCTTCTCCAGGGGATCGTCATAACTTAGGGATGGAACCTGGACCTCCCACATTGCAGGCAGATTCTCTACCATCTGAGCCACCAGGGAAGTCCTGTATATAAATGTATACCATAACTTTGATTATTTCTTTGAGATTTACACCGTATTCCTAAGTTTTGCTTTCATAAATAATGGTGCAATGCAGCAGCAAGCATTTCTGTTAATTTCATATTCACGTCTTTGTTGTCCCTGGTGACTTGGATGGTAAAGGGTCTGCCTGTAATGAGGGAGACCCAGCTTAGATCTCTGAGTGGGGAAGATCCCCTGGAGACGGGAATAGCAATCAACTCCAGTATTCTTGCCTGAAGAATCCCATAGACAAAAAAGTCTTGTCCATGGGGTGGCAAAGATTCAGACACGACTGAGCGACTAACACTTTCTCTTTCTTTGTTCAGTACTTCAAATAAATCTAAAGTAGTGAATTGGCATAGTAACTTGTATAATGTAATGAACAAAATCACTACACTAACTTTATAGAAAGGTGTGAATTATCATGTCTTTTTTAAGAGAGGCGAAACTGAATCAAGGATGATATAATGCAGAATAACTATTAATATTTTACTCCATACCCAGTAAATTAAGAACATGGAAAAGGAAAACTGTGCTGCTGTGACAGACTCCACCCTCCTCGGATTCTCAGATGCCCCTGAGCTCAGAGTCTTCCTCTTCCTGCTGTTTCTTTCCATCTATCAAGTCACAGTTTTGGGAAACGTGGGCATGATTGCCCTGATTCAGGTCAGCTCTTGACTCCACACCCCCATGTCCTTTTTCCTTAGTCACTTATCCTTTGTGGATTTCTGTTACTCTACGACCATCATGCCGAAGATTCTAGCTAACATCTTAAATGATGACAAGGTCATTTCCTTCCTGGAATGTGATGTGCAATTCTACCTGTTTTGCACATTTGTGGTAACTAAGGTCATTCTGCTGGCAGTGATGGCCTATGACCATCTTGTGGCCATCTGTGACCCACTGTTCTACATGGTCACCACGTCCTGGAATCTCTGCATGGAGTTGGTGTCTTGTTGCTACTTCAATGGTGCTGTATGTTCTCTGATTCACTTGTGTTTAGCTCTTCAGATCCCATTCTACAGATCTAATCTGATCAACCACTTTTGTGATTTCTTTTGTGACCTCCCCCCTCTCTTGTATCTTGCTTGCTCTGATGTCACTGTGACTCAATTCGTGCTATACACTGTGGCCATTTTCAGTGAGATCATCACCATCATGGTCATCCTCACCTCCTACTTGTTTATTCTCATCACCATCCTGAAGATGCACTCTGCAGAGGGAAAGTGCAAAGCCTTTTCCACCTGTGCTTCCCACCTTTCAGCCATCATTGTCTTTCATAGAACAATCCTTTTCATTTATTGCTGGCCCCATTCTAGCAACAGCATGGATACTGACAAAGTGGCCACAGTGTTCTACACTGTAGTGATCCCCATGCTGA